TCCTTTTTGTGTTTTGAAATTTGTTTTGTGGATACCTGTTTTCATTAATAACAGAATGGGCCAACCATACGGTGCGGCATCTATTGCCCTTCAAATATTTCGGCAATTAATAAAGAAAAAAGTAAAACTTTATTATTTTCACATTGATATTAAGTGACGCCACTACCTCTAGCCCTTCTATAGCCGCGTCTTACTAATACCTGAACTTCTATCATTTAATCAATACAGCCATATGTCTGGTAAAGCTCGTAATGCAGGAATTATTATTGCCCTTATAACCGGTGCATCCCTTATCGCAAGCAGATGGGTACAATCACAATGGCGATCTCAAAAGGAGAAGACCGAAATACAGCCTGCGGGAAACGCTACGACCATAACAGGTAATACCGCCCCGGTTCAAAATACGACTGCTGGCCGTGATCTCACGATTAATGTAGATAGCGGCAAACACATGAATACAGTCCAGGTTCAGGGCGGCGACTATGTGGAAGGTAACAAGGTCAATGTAGGGAATGGCCAGTATATCGAAAACAAAACCATTAGCAAATGAGTGCCCGGTTTTATGGGTTCGTCCTTATATGCTCTTCCTGCAGCTACAGTGTTTCTGCCCAAAACAGGAATATCCAGATCCAGAATGGCGACTATGTGCAAGGCAACAAAGTAGATCAGCGAAAGTACTATCATACCACCGTCAGGAAGTACTATATGACGCTTTCGGAAAAGGATATGGAGGCATTGGCGCAGAAAATGGCACTCAGAACCAGTAGCGTAAAACCGGGCAATTATGCCAGTGTACTCATCATTCCTAAGGTTAGTAAAGGAGAAGATATCTATGCACTGCTTGCGGATGCTAATACCAGGATTGGGCTGTCGAAGGTGACCGCTGCATTTTTAGAGCGCGGCTATTCCATCGTGTCTTTCCCCGAGAAGAATAATGTGGCCAGGCTGAAATTGCCCCGTAAAGATATTAGCGACAATGACCAGGCCATCTATTTGTCCGGAGCAGATATATGTATCGAAGTAGACATTATTAAACACTCAGAAGGAGATGAAAATTTCGG